CAGGTCTTCAAAGCCCTACGGAAGGCCAGGAGTGAGGGGGCCAATCGCACCTCTGGGGGCATATGCTAAAATATGCAATCTAAAAAGAGAATCATGTTCCCAAACTCCTTGTGCAGTTTTGTTGGAGGAAGGATCATGCAGAAACCTACATTTAAATTCAAAGAGCTGAACTACAGTTTATTCATATGGCTGAATATATCCACTGGGTTAATGGAGAAACATATAACATTTATAAAGAATGCTTCCTTAAGTTTCTTAAATGACCAAATTTCCCACCTCCTGCTTGTGCATTTAACCAAACATTTCAGTTTTGAGGATAAAAGTTAATTTGCACTTGCTGGTGTCAAAGAACAATTTTCAGTTATTTTCTTATGGAAAGCAGTAATTTTGTTACCTAAGATAATGATAATACTGTACTCCTATCTGGTATGAAGGTAACAATTTCTCAGAATATTTTTTTTAAATGCTCATTTCAGTTAAAGACTAAAAATCATCAAAAGAAAAAGAGGGGATGAAACTGCATTTGCTGAGCCATTTTTTCAGGACGCTGACCAAAAGAGAAAACTGCCAAGATGAACGATTACAGTCGCCAAAAAAGCTTTTCTACACCATTATGTCAAGGCAGGGAAAATCATAATTCTTAAAATTCCTGTAAAAACTCTTGTGTCAGACTAGCTTACTGTTCTAGGCCACGGATTTTCAAACTTTTTCAGACTGTGAAATCTGTTTAAAAACAAAAACAAAAACCCAGATCACCTGATCAAGAGGGTGGGGCTTCTGAATGTCATTTGACAAGCCCCACTCCTGCTGTACCTTAGTGACTAAGGGTGAAAAACCCACTCTGCGAGGGACTAAGCCTTCCCCCTCACCCAGTCCTTTGCAAAGAGCATTCTTTTCCCCCTTAGTCCTGAGGAACTCATTTAAGCCCTTGTGCAACCTAATCTGAAACCCCCCCATTCCTGACACCTGATGAATCTGTCCTTACTACCTACAGACTGCCTTTGTATCATCTTGGCTTTGGGAACTGCCTCTAATCAGAATGGACAGTGTCCTCCAAGGAATTTTTTTAAGGTTAAATTTTCACATTCCATTTAAGTGATGGCCAATGGATAGAAGATGGATTTAGCATGCAGGCATTCGTTCTCCTTGCAACAATCTGCTAAGACTGATCACATGGTAACTTCAGTGAGTGAAACTACAATTGGTTAGCATTAGGAACCTATTATAAAATGGAAGCTTGCTATGTCAGTGATAAATCCCAAACGGATTCTCACCTTTTACAGATACCATAGTTGTTCTATTTATATATTTTAGATACTTCTGTGTCACCACCATTCTATTTTGCATTTCAGGATGATATA